GACCCGTTCCCTATTGTTAGTATTGGTCAGGGAGGGTGTCAAACCCTCTTTGTTACAATAGCATGGTTGTAATTTTAATCATATATTTTATGATATTCACTGTTTTTTAATTATACATTTCATTAACTTTTATCAGAATTTAATTTTAATCTCTATCAAATAAGTGGTTAAAAATAATTTCTCAATCTCATAAATAACTTTTACTTTTTAAAACTCTAGCCAATCAGGCCATGGAAATTCAGTTCCATCAAAATCTCAAATAACTTTTTACTTTTTTATATTTATTTTTTCATAATAGCACATTTGGAAGCTCTATATAGTGAATATAAAATTTCAACTTGTTTTAATTATTATTATATTTTAGAACAATCTTGCTAGTGGTACACAATTGTGTACTTAAGGGTATACCTAATGTACACCCGACGCCTCGATAACAATCTTGCTAGTGGTACACAATTGTGTACCTCGGGTGTACATTAGGTACACCCTTAAATACACGGTTGTATGCCTTTAGTATAATTCATTTTAGAATAGCTAGTGTTGGCCAAGTCTTATGGGTCATAGACAATATTTCCAAAAGTGTATTTAGACACGAACTTTGACCTTATTGTATAGTCAAATTTTACGTTTTTTTTAGAACACGAGTCATAGAGATAAAATTTATAGCTTGACCAGCGATGGACAAAGAAACGAGCATGGGGTCACGTGACCCAAGTACTTTGGAGGAATTTTTTCTTTTCTTTTTTCGGATAAAGTAATATTTGGTCTGGATTAAAGTCTAAATTTTAATCTAAATCGAAGTTAACAATTAATTTTAATCACATATTTATAAAATACATCACTTTTCAACTTTTATCAAAATCTAATTTTAATCTTCATCAAATACAAGTAAAATCACATAGATTTAAACATTTTCTATTTTTTCTCACTTTCTCGCAATTCTCTCCCTCACGGCTTTTATCAAAGCCTCTACCCTTCTAATTTTCCAAACATTGTCTATAATTTCTCGACATGTTAACACATCTACAATAAATCTTCACTTCCCAATCAAATTTTCAATTAATTAGAACTTAAATTTGCATTTTTTTCCCTACCAAATTTATAACAATGTCACAAAAGTGATTGTCATTACGTCATCGTCAACCTACTCTTTCGACCTTTAGACGCAATCAATTTAAGTTATTCTCCTCCCAGCTCTCGACGTAGCGTGCCGATCTCCTGCACCATAAATCCAGTCAGGCGATGGTACAGATTATCAGAATAATCACCCTAAGGGGGAGGAAGTGATGCCGACGGCGGAGGTGATGCCCTCAGTGGAGGTGATGCCCTCGACGGAAGTGATGCCGGATCAACTGCCTCGCGATCCTGCACAAACTTACATATTATTAACTTATTCAATAATTGCTAACTCATACAAAACATTAATCAATAATTCACTTACCTAGTCTCGATCAGGGATCGAATCGGACATCTGGTCGTCCTGGGCATGTGGAACTGCTACTTCACGCACGAGACCCTACGCCTCTTCCTCCATCGACGGCGTCAAATGAGTTATTACTTCAACTGACATATTGACATTTTAAAAAGATAAAACCAAATAATATTAAACTATGTACAATATAAATCACAAATTTATAATAAACACATGAGGGTCGTCGAGAAGAGACAATAATGGATATCCCTCCGCTCGAGATGCTCGCCATTGGTACATCCGAGAGCAGCATGTCTCCTCTCGCCCTACAAAGTGGGTACCCAATATGGGGATGGTCTCATATGCCTAGACCTGCAACACATAATTTAGTACATACAAATTCAATAGAAAAATATTGTAACATTGATTGCGTTAATCATTTACCTGCAGCGCCAAGGGGAATCCGTACATGTCGTACTTACGCACGGGCCCCTTGGACTTTGAGTACAGTCTAGTGAAGATGTGGACGGTGTTCTCGAAACATCGGCGGCCCCATGGATAGCTGTTGAAGCGATCTATGTCGTCGACGATCTTGAGGTGGAAGAGGTCGATCGTAGTCTTCTTGTGGTGACACCGCATCACGCTCTCAATGATGTAGACCAAACCTAACTTAAGTCTGTCCAGCATCTTGTCACACCTCCTGATCACGTCCATCAGCTGAGGCAAAACCACCACCCCCTATCCCTGGAAGTAAGTGTCCTGCAGCCTATTTCTTCTCTGAGTCCCGCCGCTAGATGCCTCATCGCCCGTAATCTTCAATCCAGTCAGCATGACAAACTCGAACATGGAAAAGCTTGTGACTTTGCCCCCGAGGTCGAAGTGGAGGGCATCGCCGTCAACTAGACTCAGCAACCGACATAAAAGAGTATCGATCATCTGACCCAAATACTGCAACTCTCTCATAGGGTATAAAGGTCATAGAAAAGATTGAAGCAGCACATCCTCATGCTTGTCGTCCAGTAGCTCCAGGACTTGGGTGAAGCTGTTAAAGTTACTGTCCCACATAACTTTGTCTGGCATTTGTCTCAGCTCTGCATCCAGATGATAATCCATCCTGCAAAAATTGAAACAGAATATTAGAACATTGTACATGAAATAATGGAATGAAACATAATAACCCAAAATTAAGCAAATCGAATTTTTAACCGTATTTTTAAAATCACAAATATCTTTACATTAAAATTATAACTAAAACGAAAATTTAAATTTTAAAAAAAATTTTAAAAAATTAAATAAAATTAAAAATTAAAAATTAGAATTAAAAATTTAATTTGAAATTAATTTTAAAATAACAAATTTCTTTACATTAAAAATATATAAAATGAAAATTTAAATTTAAAATAAAATTACCATTAAAATTAAATTTAAAATAAAAAGCTGAAATTAGAATTAAAAAAGTAATTTTAAAATTAATTTTAAAATAACAAATTTCTTTAAATTAAAATTATAACTAAAATGAAAATTTAAATGTAAAATAAAATAAATAAAAAATAAAAAATTAAATTAAATTAAAACTAAAATTTAAAATTAGAATTAAAAATTTATTTTGAAATTTATTTTAAAACAACAAATTTCTTTACATTAAAATTATAATTAAAAAATGTAAATTTAAAATAAAATTACAATTACAATTAAATTTAACATAAAAAGTTGAAATTAGAATTAAAAAAGTAATTTTAAAATTAATTTTAAAATAAAAAATTTCGTTAAAATAAAATTATAACTAAAATGAAAATTTAAATTTAAAATAAAATTCAAAGTTCAAAATTCGGATTAAATATTTAATTTGAAAATAAATTCTAAATTAACAAGTTTCTTTAAATTAAAATTAAAATTTAAAATTAAATTAAATAAAAAGTAAAAAATAAAATTTAGAATTAAAAAAATTTCTTTACATTAAAATTATAATTAAAAAAATATAAATTTAAAATAAAATTACAATTACAATTAAATTTAACATAAAAAGTTGAAATTAGAATTAAAAAATTAATTTTAAAATAAAAATTTTCTTTAAATTAAAATTTAACTAAAATGAAAATTTAAATTTAAAATAAAATTAAAAATTAAAATTAAAAAGTCAAAATTCGGATTAAATAATTAATTTTTCTAAATTAACAAATTTCTTTAGATTAAAATTTAAATTTAAAATAAAAAGTTAGAGTTAGAGTTAAAAATTTATTTTGAAATCAATTTTAAAATAAAAAAATTTCTTTACATTGAAATTATAATTAAAAAAATGTAAATTTAAAATAAAATTACAATTACAATTAAATTTAACATCAAAAGTTGAAATTAGAATTAAAATGTAATTTTCTAATAACAAATTTCTTTAAATTAAAATTATAACTAAAATGAAAATTTAAATTGAAAATAAAATAAAAAATTAAAATTAATTTAAAATTAAAAAGTCAAAATTCGGATTAAATAACTAATTTGAAAATAAATTCTTAATTAACAAATTTCTTTAAATTAATTTAGAAAATTTAATATTTAAAAAAAATCGACTGTTAAACTGCTGGTTCTAGGACTAATTGTTAATAGCCGACGGTTGACAGTCGGCGGTCGACTAAATCAACCTTTCCGTCTCCACTCGCCGGATTCCATCATTTCTGGTGAGTTAGAGCTCCCCAAACACAAAAAAATTGGCCAATACGCTTCATCAATCTACCCTAAATCATGCATTTCATACCACAAAAATCATATTCCAATCAATAATCTAATTAAAACTTAATAAAATCCAATAATCTAATTATAATTCCACAAAAACTAATATTTACAACTCTTAAAAGTTGGCAACCTGAAGTTTTTTTGTGAGGGAATGTCTGGACGATCGACTGTTAGTGAATCCGATTTTTCCTTTCCACACTGTGGACAGAGAGAAAGGAAGATGGAGGGGTATTTTTGGAAAAGTGCCTTTAAATTGTGTTTTCGTTTTTTTTTTTTAACCAATCAGTCAAAGGCCAAAGTGGAAATAAAGGCGGGTCAAATGGCCATTTTCACTTATTTCCTCCTCCAAATGAACTCCATTTGGGAAAAAGGAAAGCTGTTTGTAAAGAAAAGCCCAAGAAAGATTCATCGACTTTAGCTAAGATATAGCTATTTTGTCGAATTTATCACACTATATTGAAGTGTGAAATAATTGAACACGCCATAGTTAGGAACTAGTTTTCCATTTCAGGGATTTGATAAAGACAACTATGCAAAAACCAAGCAATAAAAGCCTCAAGAAAATTAGCAAAAATGAAAATGATTCGGAGAAAATTTTCATAAAGGATTTGGAAAAATTAGTCTTGCTAAGCTAAAGGAGGAAAGAACTATTCTTGAATTGTTTAGGAAGAAAGCGCTATTAATTGAATGGGTAATATCCAACTCGTTAAATTTTAACGTTATTAATCGCAACGTAAGAAATCCTTCAGTCTTATGGACATTTTTTCACTTAGTTAGATGGGTGGAAGTGAAATGGGTGATGGATAAATAATTTATTTTAAAAATGGATGAGCAGTTAGTAAATTTTTATTTTTGGGTGAGCATTAATCGTACGCATCAATGCACCAGAGGGTACCGGTAACGATACAAGCCGACAAATGGAAGTTCATTTTTCAATTTTTTATTCAGTCAGCATACAAAATGTTCTCGATGATCTCTTTTGCTTTCAATCAAAAGCATTTCCTCTGTCAATCACTCGTGAATTGACATAAATCCTTCTCTACTTCAGCTAATCACCAAACCTTTTTCCTCTTGACCCTCTCTCTGCAACATCCGTTCTTTATATACAGGGGGAGGGGAAATACTGAAAGAGAAGCCATGCTTGACTTTGGTGATGAGTTAATAATCGAAAGCTACAAAATCCCATGGCTAATATGGATCCATCTTCTTGTTACGATTCTTTTCATAATCCTTATCTGTTTTGGCTTCAACATTTTTACTTCAGATTTCTCGCAAAACCCTTCGATCAATATGACGTCAGCTTCACCTTCATCTAGCAACACATCTCAGTCTAATCAAATTAGCTCTTCACAAAGAACCAAGGTCAGTTAAATTATTTTCTTTATTAACTATTTTCTGTCAGGGATTGAAATTATTTTCTTCTGTGGCGAAATGGTTTATTTGTTTATTTTTGTCGTGAGTTGAAATGGTAAAGTGTGGAAGTCGTTGAATATTTGTTCTTTAGTATCATAAGATCCAATAGAAGCACAAGGGGAAAAGGGAAAACTTAGTCCCAAATTTAGTGGTTGTAGAAGAATGAATTAAGGGGCCGACAAATTAGGCAATTGAGACATGTTTTGCGTAGGTGTAGAGTTCTTTGGTTCATAGAAGACCAAAGGATTTCACACCCCTCACCCCCCAACCCAACCCAACCCCAGAGGAGACTCAAAGAGACTGAGAATGCTTCGCTATTACCCCTTGAGCTAGGCCTAGGCCTTGGCCTCTAATAAGATAGAACAAGTTAGAGTTAATCGGTTAGTCCATTAGGCTTAATTGGTTAGTCCAAATTTAACGTGCTTTGTTCTAGTTGCTAAGGATTTATGATATTTCAAATGATCCCGGAAATGATACATACAGCAGATCTCAAATTTATTAGGAAAAGTGTTCTTGCGGTTGTGAGGGTCGGTGATTGGGTTGGGGGAGGCACGAGTTGTTGTTAAGTGGACATGTTATATTTGGAATGCAAGTTATGATCATTTGCATATTAAAAGGTTACTTATTAGCAAAGAATTATTGTCAAGTTTGAAAGAGGGCTTCTGCCTCTATATTTAATGGATTGCTTCAGCTACTGGCAAAAGCATGGGGATTTTGGATTCTACTTTATTGTCAAAAAGAGAGAAGAAAAAGTGTATAACTGTCCCGCTCATTGGCAACTTTATACCTTTATTGGGACCATTATGAACCTCTATTTTGGGTTATGGGTAATTAAAGGAAAAGATAACTTTTAGGAAAAACACAAGTTTATGTTAGCTTTCAGTGAAAAACACCTGAAAATAAGTACACATAGATAAGTACTGGGAATTTTGATTTGTGTATATGGTTCATTTTTGTTGTTTCACTTGGTGTTCAACTATGTTTGAACAATTTTACGTTCAGTTTTTCCTTGAGTTTAATATGCTTATCCTCAGAGTTTCTTCGGAAAATTTTTTTACGGAAAAATCACCATCCCTGATGTTAACAATTATAGAAGGATGGGCAACAAAAATCACCAGAATGCTGAACTTAAAACTCTAATAAACTTGAACTGCCAATTACTGGGAATTTCCTAGGGTAAATGCTACTTTAGAACAATATGGTCCACTTCAAGTATGGATAGTATAATTCTGTTGCCGCAAAATTTGTGTAACTCAGTCTGCTTAGCTGATTTTTCTTCTTGGTCTGAAGTTTCCTTCGATCCCTAATGATCCTTTGTTAAGAGAATTAGACCTTTACATCATCATAAATATGTAGTGAATTAGTATGTTCCCGTTGTAGAGATCATTTGTATTTGTTGAGATATGGCTGTATGTGCACTTTTCAGTTTCACTACCTGAGAATAAGTGTCCTGTAAAAGAAAAGGAATCAGAGAACTTACTTGAATAATTTTATAATCAAGAAACTAAAAGGTAAAACTTGGAAACTTAAAAATGTATATGGTTGTTTAATTTCTTTTAGATATAATCCCCCTTTTGTAATTTTCTCGATCTTTTGACTGGTATCGTCTTCTGGACATCAGCTGTAAATAGTTTCTTTGAATTTTTATTTCTTATCGGTTTTCTATTTTTGGGTAAGGAAATGAAAGTAAAGTTTCTTGCAACTCTCTTTTTTGTGTGCATATTTAATCAATGATCATATTCAGTTTTTAAGATTGTCTATTTGCTCACTGAGCACTGACACCAAGAACTTCTTGAACTCATATTGATGCGGACATCATCCTCATTGGGCCATTTGTTAGGCCATTTTATCTTCTAGTTATTTATTTTGGACTTATGTTTCATTGGGCTTGTATATGGGTTTGGCCCAAGCCCAAGTTATTATTTTGTTATTTATATTATTGTAATTAGGATTGAAAGTTCAGTTGATGAAATGAAATTATTCATGTTGGCTTGTTGTGCCCAATTTCCTCCCCTGCTTTCTCCCTTTTTCTCCCTTTTCTTCCTTAGGTGTTCATTCTCTTCTTCTTCTCTCCTTCTACTTGGGTATTCTGCTTCTTCTCCCTGACCCATCCTACATCAGTTTTGGTATCAGAGCCAGGTTGGGAGACAACTCATATACACAACCACAATTCTCGCCACCAGTCATCTACTAAGCACCACAGCTGCTGTTAAAAATCGCCACCATACAATTGCACCTTCATCACCGAACAACCTGTGAATGGTGCAACTGAATAGCCAAATTCATAACACCCAGCAACCCCCAATGCAGTAACCAACAGATAACTGTCTGCCCAAAAAATAAAAGGGGGGGGGGGGGGGGGGGGCAGATAACTGTCTGTCAGGGGCACTCCACTATCACTACACGTCTTCATCCACTTCTCAAAACTACCATTTGTTAGGCCATTTTATCTTATAGTTATTTATTTTGGACTTATGTTTCATTGGGCTTGTATATGGGTTTGGCCCAAGCCCTAGTTATTATTTTGTTATTTATATTATTGTAATTGGGATTGAAAGTTCAGTTGATGAAATGAAATTATTCACGTTGGCTTGTTGTGCCCAATTTCCTCCCCTGCGTTCTCCCTTTTCTTCCTTAGGTGCTCATTCTCTTCTTCTTCTCTCCTTCTACTTGGGTATTCTGCTTCTTCTCCCTGACCTATCCTACATGACATATCCTGTTGACTTTTCTTTTGAAAGATGTGGATTAGTGTTTGAACATGCACTTTCATAAATGAATTTACAGTTTGGTAGGTAAGTTTAATTTTATTTGATCGATAGGAAGAAAATATGTAAATTTTTAACATAGCAGGTAAATGAAAACCAAAGAATTAAGAGAGATGCGGGAACAAGCGGACAGACGATGATAGAGGAAGTTCAAGAATGCGAAGAATCTTCATTGAATGATTCTATATTTTTTAGGCTTTTTAGGCATCCAAACCACCCTTGCGACTATCTTGGGCTAGCTAAACAAGCTCTTTTGAAGTGTTTCGGCTTAGATTCCAGAACCGAGGCTCGAGCAACGAAAAATTCAAAAAAGAAGATTGATGTAAGCCCTCTGGTGCTGACTTAAAATTCAAAAGAAAAGATTTTTTTTTGTCCCCCCCCCCCCCCCCCCCCCCACTCCTACTCCTCTCTCTCTCCCCCTCTTACACACACAAACACTCACTGAGACTTGTGTCACACACACGTGTAGTTTGTCAAAACAGGCCGTCACAGCCAACAAACGGGCAAGGGCCGACCAAAGGATTTGAGGGCTGTTAGATCTCTTCAAAATCGCTGCAGAGGGAAATGGCTCTCTGCTCGGAGAACTTTGCTCTCACGTTTCTTTTTTTCTTTTTTTCTTTTTTTCCATCATTGGTGTTACTTCGGCCCTGGTGCCAAGCCCCTCCCATAACTAGGCAGCCAGTCCATTTTGACATCGCGAACACCAATAACCAGAGAGATTTTCCAACTTGAGCTTTTCATGTTAAATAGAAATCTGTTAAAACGAGAGCAGTATGCTACTACTGGAGAATGGTTATGAATAGATCAAACTATGGATAGAGGCATAGAGCATTTCAATGTATAAAAGAACATGACCACAATAAATTGGAAATATGCTAAATTCCTGGCCTGCAAAAGCATTAGGACACAAGGTTTTAGGTTAAATGCATTCATTTTTAGTTAAGGATTGAAATTACTCTTTCATTTTGCAGGCACTGCATTGTAGTCCATATAAAGATTAGACGACAAGTGCAGAAGCCTGGGTTGAACATTGGCCTTGAACAGTTCAACCAAGGAAATGTAGAGCTCATCATTCTGTGCATGACAACTACGGAATGTATATTGCAACACACTAGCTAGCTACCACATTAGCGTCCGTATAATTAACCACCGATGCTAATGAATTACGATTCTTGAATGTAACTGAACTGTTAACCTTTGTTCTCCTCTTTTATCCATTGCACTTTGGAGTATTTGCTTCATTTCAAACGTATAGTTTATTTCTTCTCTTCATTTTACACCTTGGCCGATTATGTTTGCTTCTCTCGTCTCTTATGGAGTGCCAAGTTTGAACATCAGCTGTGTTTGCTTCGTATAGAAGATTTTTCTTAAAAAGTTACGTTGAATTTGCTTTTTCAAAAAGTTCTTTTAAATCACTTTCAAAAAATATTCTAGCATATTTATTTAATGCCCGATATATATATATATATATTATTTATTTATTTTTTATTTTTTTTGAAAATCGTGTGGTTTAAAAGTAGAAAAAATTTAAATTTACGTGTAAAATATTTTATTATTTGAATGTATGATTGAAAATAAGTAAGAGTTAAAGAATTTTTTTTTAAAGGAAGACAGACAAGGACTTGGTCCTAATTGATAAAATCATAATTTAAATTTCTATGAAAGTCAAACTAAACTATTAATTTTTAGGAAAAAGTTCTTTTGCCAGAATTTTTTTACCCATTTGGTTGAAATTCACTCACAAGCGTGGACCCTGCTTGAATAAAAAATTAAAAAAAAAAAAAAAAAAAAGTGGGACCCGATCCCTATTGTTAGTATTGGTCAAGGAGGGTGACGTTGTGTACCATTAGCATAATTCATTTTAGAATAGCTAGTGTTGGCCAAGTCTTATGGGTCATAGACAATATTTCCAAAAGTGTATTTAGGCACGAAGTTTGAACTTATTGTATAGTCAAATTTTATGTTTTTTTTAGAACACGAGTCATAGAGATAGAATTTATAGCTGGACCAGCGATGGACAAAGAAACGAGCATGGGGTCACGTGACCCCTAAGTACTTTGGAGGAATTTTTTCTTTTCTTTTTTCGGATAAAGTAATATTTGGTCTGGATTAAAGTCTAAATTTTAATCTAAATCGAAGTTAACAATTAATTTTAATCACATATTTATAAAATACATCACTTTTCAACTTTTATCAAAATCTAATTTTAATCTTCATCAAATACAAGTAAAATCACATAGATTTAAACATTTTCTATTTTTTCTCACTTTCTCGCAATTCTCTCCCTCACGGCTTTTATCAAAGCCTCTACCTTTCTAATTTTCCAAACATTGTCTATAATTTCTCGACATGTTAACACATCTACAATAAATCTTCAGTTCCCAATCAAATTTTCAATTAATTAGAACTTAAATTTGCATTTTTTTCCCCTACCAAATTTATAACAATGTCACAAAAGTGATTGTCATTACGTCATCGTCAACCTACTCTTTCGACCTTTAGACGCAATCAATTTAAGTTATATTGTCTTTGAAAATTAAAAGGAACACGAGGCTAACTTATAATTTCAAAATTTTATTTTCTTTGATCAAAATTTAAAGTTTGAATTATATTTATAGTTTTATTTTCATTCTATTCGATTTATATTCAGGATTGATTTTTGAATTTTGCATATTGAATTGTGTCAAATTGATTTGGAATGGATTTTAAATCATTTATGTTATATTGAATTATTTTTAAATTGTGTATATAGAATGGGTCTAAAATAATTATGTCTAATTTGATTTGTATTTAACGAATTGTGTTTATTTGAATTGATTATTATTGTTACTGAATATTGATTGTATGTTTTTCATTCCAATTACTTTAATTTGTAAATACACTACAAATTCTTGAAACGTAAACATGTGTTTCTTTGTAAGAAGCAAAATATTAATAAAAGAAATGTTCAAAATTAAATGGATGAAGGTGATGAGCAAAATATTAATAAATGAATTCTTTTTAAACGTAAATCTATAATTTCTCGGGTCAAGTTTGAATTATTCAAAAATCAATAACAAAATATTCAATAAGTATAAGGTTCGATTGTGCTCCCCTAACTCAAAATATCTGCACTCGCCACTGGCCATTGAACTCGTCGTGACTCGTCCATAAAAGTAATTCTGATCTAACGGGTTACACATTTTAGATCATCTAGCTCATTTTAATAGATTTATTTATAATGACTTGTTTAAGACAATGTAATTTTTGTTGGGTGTATCTTTTTTCAAAAGTAGATTCATATATATTTTTATTTTATTATAGTTCATTTTGATTCGGCCCTTGTTTGATCTTCATTATTTTCAAAAGATATTTTTATTTTTTTCAATTACAATTTCTTCAATAAAATAATATTATACGTAAATTTAACATAATTTTTTATTTCTCAACTATACATTCTTCATCAATTCACTATTCTAAAGTACATTCTTATACTTTTATTGGGGCTCAAACATGTTCTCAATGTTAACAACCCCATTAAGGTTATTTACTAACAAAAATATCAATTGTTGTAAATATAATAGTATTTATGAATGACTTTTATACCCTTGTAACACAAGTCATTATAATTGTTGTATCCCTAATTCTTCTTTATAAATAGGGATTTTGATTATTAATAAAACATACAAGTTTATTGACTTATTTATTTTCTTTCTAATTTATAACACGTTATCAGTACGATTTCTTTACAAAATATAATAATATTTGTATGTGCACGAATTTATTTCCATTCATCTGCATGACTATTTTTTCTTGCACCTTCATAATTCTGTCTCTCCCTCTTACCCACGAGTTTATCTCTCTCTCTCTATAAGAAAGCGATCGAGTTAAATCTATTAGTAGTCATCCAACTTTATATTTGGTGTCACCATAGCCACCAAACTTTATACATAGTATCATCATGACCACTCAATTTGATTACCACAAACAACGAAAACACAAAATCGATTATAGACAAGGGGATATAGTACTTCTTTGTAACAATCTCAACATTGAGGTATATGGGTTTCTCAAAAATACTATGTTTTCATGATTTTTACTCTTTATAACTGTCAACGACGACACCTGCAAAAACGTACCATATACCGGTTTCCGTAGAGATCCCCTTAAATGGCACGCACATCCAACATCTCCGTCGTCGACTTTTCCAACTTCAGGCGAGTTTATTGTCCCTTTCGTCGCAAATCTTTCTTTTCTTCTTCCCATTAGTCGTGCGCCAGAAATTTGAAAAACAAGTAAAAAGGAAGATGAAAAGATATTTTAAATGTTTGGGCGATTTTACCCTCTTCTATTTTGGTTAAAAGTGGTCAATTCTTTATTTGGACGGTCAACTGGCCGGCGTTTGGACTATTTCCGTCCAAAAGGGCCTTCACTGCAATGAATGTAAAAGTTAGGGGTGACGACTGCCACAAATCAAAGGTTTGGGGATAGTCTGCAAGTGTTTTAAAGGTTTGAGGTTTCTGCTGCAATTTTTTCATTTATAATTTTTGAAATAGTATTTTTTGAAGAAAGTGTAGTTGAAAAAGAATTAAAAATTTTTAATTTACGTGTAATACTATTTTATAGAAGATCGTGTGGTTAAAAACAAAAAAAGAGAAAATTATAATTCGACATAATGAGGGCCAAACGAAAGCTTAATTCATTTCAGAACTTTGTTATCAAATTCATTTTCGGGTTTGGTTAATGGGCTATAGTATGTTTTGGCCTATTTATGTCGCCACTAAAATATAAATTGATCCATACATTAATAAAATTTTGAATATGAATTTTAAAATGCTATTATTATTTTAACATCGGTTCTATCCCGTTCAACCTTTGTTAGATCGTTTGACCTTTTAACTTTTTCGAATCTATAATTCTTTTCTATAAATAGGGATTGCAATTTTCAATAAAACACAAAAAAATATTGATTTATCCCTTTTGCTTTTTCTTTATAACATCAAGTGAATTTAACGTCTCCAGCAGGAGGGAAACCGCGCGGCTAAAATAGAATTTTTGAAAGGGCCATCGACAAAACAATTGAATTTCCTAATACAGTCTTGTAGACCAATAATCTGTCCAAATAGGGACCCCTCGCCTCCCCCCTAAAAATTTATAATGGAATCCCCTCCTTTGCAACCTCTCCACTGCCCTACAGAACCCTCCGCCGTGAACGACGGCGCCACCGCCTATTCAGTGCCGGAAATTCCTTCTGACCCATCAAGCTCGCGTTTGATCAACGGCACAAAATCCGAAAGGAAAAATAACAAGAAAAAGAAAACCCTAGTTACAGAACCCTCATCACCACCATCATCAGTATCATCATCAAATAATTGTTCTTGTTCAAGTTCGAAGAAAAAGGGTCTCAAGATTTTGAAGAATTCTAAAAAAATTCGAGTTGGGTCGACCACGAACAGGAGAAGTACGAATTTCAGAAATGTTAATGTCGATACCCTTGCTCTTCCCCTGGGAATGTCAATTGCTGCTGTTGTTTCCAAGGTACTTATCTTTTCAGCTATATTTGTATGTGCTTATAAAGAAAGGATAGATTTTTGCAATGATTGAAGTGTTAAACATTGTTATCATTCTTGATATTTTGGAAAGTTTTGTTATTTTTATAAAGATTTTGTGCACTTTTTGAAAAACTATGGATTTCAATGAATATAAAGATCAAGGGTTCAAGATTCTCGGCTTTTATGGAAAAGTTTGAATCTTTAATGGGATATCTGTCTTTTTAGTGTGACAAATGTGATTGAAAATTTTGTAGGAAGATTTCAGTGTAGAGTTTTGAATTATTGCGCTCATAGAAATCTTCTGTTTTTAGGAAATTTGTTAAACCTTTTTATCTGTATGTTTAAATGTGTCTCATGAATCATGATATGTGTTGGTAATCTTTGGTTTGATGACAAATTATTGAATCCTTATGGGAAAGATTGAATTTTGATGTAGAAAATATGTTTCTGGATATGTTGACCACAGCTTGTGCAAAAAGTTGGTGAAGTAATGTCCCCCCCACCCAAAAAAAGAAAAGAAAAAAGAAGTGTCTTACAAGAAGGTTATCAATGTATTAGTAAGACTCTTTTTGGGGACGGTGATAATGTTTCCCCAAAAACAAATGAAGAATGTGAGTGTTGAGCGTGTTTATTATGGAGAGTTAAATGGTGTAATTACTATATTGTTTTGAAGAGCCTGTATATAGTCACACTATAATTAATATTCTTGGTAGACGATGAATTTTTAATTGTTAAGTGATGTTAACTTAAATTTGAAGTCCTTTCGTTGCTCTTTCTTTTTTTGTTTATTATTATTATTTTTATATATTCATGTGAGTGTGTTCTCATTTTGAGCGAATAAAATTATGCTTGTTGAGCCTGTTCTCATATCATCTTTCGTTGAAATTTTCTGAATTACAAAAGAAAAGCATAACTTCTGGATGCATCTTCCTCTAACAAGGAAGTGACTAAGAAGAATGATGCTGCACACAAACAGGC